TGAAAATGGAACAACATCTCAAGTGGAACTTTTAATAAGTAAAACAAGTAAGCAATTTGTAGTATTTAATTTTAGTTATAATTATGATCAGTATCGTTTTTTGTTATTCTGTACATTGTTATTTAATAATAATAATAAGTATTGTAAACGTAAGTGTGGAGAAAACCAGCAAAAGCTGACAAAAAATAAAGAATAATAATAATAATCATTTATTCAGCATAAAAAAGAGTACAGAGTAAAAAAGAAAACTTAAATACTAATAATCGTTTATGCTGAAAAGGCCTCCACTCAGCTGGTGCCGCAGCGTGTCACTACAGCGCTGATTTTCAGTGGAGCCACTTGAAAAAAAAGAAATAGCATTCGTGATGAATTTAAATATCTAAAATGAAGAATCAGTTAAATGGATGAATTATAAGTATGTGTGATAAATAGAAGAAAAATATATAAGGATAAAAAAGTGTTGATAGAAAGACCTTTTTGTAATATAATATAGCTTGAATATATTTATTTATTTATATGACTACTGTATTTATTTGCCACGTTTAAGATTTTTGTACTTTAAGTAAATATTTTTTAAAATGATGTTTAAAAGACGAAACTGACTGAATGAATTTACATTTCGTTTCGCGTTAAGCCTGGTCGTATTTCTAACGCCAATAAGTTCACTTTGTATTAGAGGGCAAATCACATGGTATGAAAACATAATACTTCCTTGTATCTTCGTCCTTAGGAACAGAAACAACTTGGTTGCGATGGATGTCACAAATTGGCGGTTTCTGTTCGTGTAAGCGAATGTTACTATTTTAATTGACTTAAATAATAAAATAGTCTTACCAGTAGAAACATAGACTTACATAATATTATGTTAGAATTTACGTAGTTAGTTAAAAGAAGACAGCTAAGTACAAGTACTATCCATTTCTACTGTACATGTAACTAATCACTAACCATCAAGGTAGATTCCTTAACAAGTGTGTTTCATATAGTCCGTTTAGTTTCTTCTGATGCATTGTTTTGCATACAATTATTAAACATGAGTGAACATTTCGTTTCACATTTTAATTATTCAATAAATGTACTACATGTCTACTTGGGATACTTAGATTTCTACAATTACAGTCGAACTTTAATATTTATTTAATAAACATTAGACTTTGTTTGGATAGGATATTATTAATATTGATTTATTGTGTAAACAAAAATTTGATGTAATTAAAGGGTTTTACGGATGTTTACAAATATTTAAGAAAGTCAATATTTAAAACATATATACCACTGGATACAAAAGTTTCAAAACCCATAATAGATTTAACAAACACATAAACCCATAATATCAGCATTTAAATATTGTTTCCTTTCGCCGGAAACTTGAAAACAACAACTGATATGAATGATAATTCTTTGTGAGAAACTCTGAAACCCAAATATTATGAACGTAAAATAATGTACATAGACTAAAAGTAAAATAAACGTATGATATCATATATTTCCATAAAAAAGCACTACCTTCATATATGCAGATATCTTGTAATACATAAATAAAAGATTATATACTACGATTAAAAAAAAATCTATATGAATTTGTCAAGATAGGCCAAGATTTCATATCAATCCTTCACTGACCATCTGCCAGCGTGGCATTGTAATAATTTTATCATTACCATCATCAGAAATACCAAAAAAATTTTATCAGTATGAGGTCTCACACAATTTTTAGTGAGCAATAAAAAATGTAAATCCAACGTGGACCACATATCATCTTTTTATTCTTTAGGGAAATCACACGAATTGTACCAATCCTTCATCGCATTACAGAGATTATTCGTCGGTAAATACATGTAGTAGTAGTAAAAATAGTCAGTATGCACTGATTATTCAGTAGTAGTGTTTATAAATAAGAAAATATCAGCAAAAACAAACGTCTATCTACGTCCCCACGTGTAGGTCTATAATAAATGTTGGTCCTCCCATTTTGTAGGAAATATTCAAACATTACGTTGACAATCATTATATTTATTGATTCAGCTGAGACGTGTAAATATCTGTTATGGTATGTCATTGCATTCATGGTTAACGACGTTTTATTTGTGAAGATTCACGATGAAACTTTATCTGCATGACGCGACGTTCCACAGTAGAAACGAAGTTTATTCTTCTACCTCTTTTTAGATATAAAAGTTATAGAATCGAAGTGACGATGGAGCAATATTAAAATGTACTTTCTAAGATTGTATTATTATTAGTTATGAATTAATACTAAGGATAGATCCTTATTATAAAATAAGTTAGTATTTTCTTAGTTTTCATTTGAACGCAAGTATTAATTGAAACCGCATTTCAATAAGTATTCGATATGCAATGGAAATTGTACGTGCTCGCAGGCATTAAAAAAAAACAAAATAGCACAGTTTTACGGTACATAGGAATTAAACTTAAACCACAACATACAAAAATAATTCTTTGACTTCTCTACTATCGAAGTTCATCATTATAAAAATATGAAGAAAGTCTATAAGTATACAGTAGTATTAAGTTATTCGGTTAGTTAAAAATTCGATCAAGAGAGTGCCGCATAAGTTTTAGTAGAATTCCGTGATGTATTGACGTCTCCGTAAATTCAATACCATATCGTAAGAAATGGGATATTTGAATTTGTATGAAAAAGATAGGTATTCGTGTCGAAAGTGGAGAAATGTTTGGGGCCAACGCTAGTGTAATGCATACAGTACTTGTATATATAATAAATACGCGTTATCATTTTTTTTTATTGTTTTCCGTTATTAAGCTATAACGAAAATTTAATTTTAGATTCCCTCAAAATGTGAGGGATGGAAAGGCAGATAACTTAGCAGACGTCTTGCTGCTACTAGTATTTGAATAGTTTTCATTGATTTAAGAATTATCGAAAGCGGTTTAGTATAGGATATCAAATGTTTTATTTTTGTAACGAAAAAAAGTAACAGTTTTATAACAAATTAGATACGTCCAAATCTAATTTGTTAATAAATATTTTGTAATAATAATTAACTTAATTAGAAAATTACTATGTTGATAAGATATATCTGTTATTATATATCCGCCCATATTTAAATAGTCCTGACTAACGTTTTTTAGCAATTTTTATTTTATTGAAATAGTTAAAGTATTTACATATAACTATAAATTCCGTACATTCTATTTAATATGAATACAAAAACAGTAGATTACAATGTCCTACAAATTACAATTCCATTGAGTAATAGCTGCAAAATTAATAAACGTTTTCTTCAATTACGCCAACACATAACATATTATATGTATCTAAAAACGCTGCTTTGTATATTATAATAAGGTTTGGTTTGTATAATCCACTACCGTCAACGCGAGAAGCCTTATTAAACTTGACGGACAACACAAAGCAAATCCCATTGTAATTCATGTAAAAAGGCGTTTTTCGACCGCTTTTCCTGTCGAAATATCCAAAAACCCCTTCTTACTGAATGTCTAAGGTAATTTACCCGCCTTCTTAGTTTCGTAGGTTAAGTGGTTTTCAAGATTTTGTGATTAGTCAGACCAATGAATAGCGGTAGCTTTTATTTTAGCGTAGGTAGTCAATTTATATACCATTTGTGTAATCTTTATGAAATACCTAATATATCTTTAAAGATTCACGTTAAAGTTAGCAAAGAGGCGAGGTTACAGACCCATGTGACGTGACATTGTCACTCGTCTGATGATAAGCGTGATTGATGACGTCACAATTGCCGTGTGTCACGCTGCGTATCGCACGGCTACCTACTGCACATTAACCTACTTGTTGAACGTACGAGCTACGAATCTACGACGCTACGAAATATGTAGAGTCAGCGGTGATGATATTATAAATAAAACAAATATAATAACTCAGAAACGAACAATTTCTTTTTACGAATTTTGAAGGAGTTTTGACGGTAATATTCATATTTAATTATAACATACCTACATATGTGTAATTAAACATGCCCAATTTCTAAATATAAATCACAATAAAGAAAGGGAATTTTTCAAGGTCAGCATTTTCAAGTCTTTTCAGCAACAATTTATTTGTGTAGGCTTTGTAAATGGCAATTTCCATATCTATTTTTGTGAAGGCCGATAGCAAATATTTGTTTAAATGAAATCACTCTAGTTGCTCCACGCAAAACATCATAATATAAATAAAACTGTACATGTTAATTACGTTTGTATGTTCTGATACAACACAACAACTTAAAAGTCGTTTATAGTCATAGTTTTGGAATGGAATAGAAAATGAATTATATTTTATCTTAATCAATTAATATATCCCTGTCATGAACTCCACCGTGGTTAGAAACTAGTTGTTAAATAATAAACATGACCTGTCTAAAACTGGTTATAAAATTTTTTTACGCAAATGAAATAGTAATTTGAGATTAATTTAGATATTTAAAAATATATGGCCCATATTTTTTCAAAAAGATACAATAGAATTAGTAATATCTTGCAATGCTAGTTGCATTGCAAGATATTACTAATGCTACTATTTTTTTATTAATTTTACTATTTTTTTAAATAACTCAATAAATCTCAAATTCACAAATTTAATAAAGTTAGTGTATCTTACTAATATTATAAACACAAAAGTTTGTGAGTATAGTTAGATATTTGTTACTCTTTCACTATTCAATGGATTTTGAGAAAGCTTATTTTCATGGATAAGATAATAATACATATTATTATTATTATTACAGTATTATAGCTTATACATCAGAATAATAGATAGGCTATAAATTTACCTATGTACATTTTACTACTAAACGGCGAAACAAATCTTAACATGAAAATATATTGTATTATAAAGACGAAAGTAATCTATCTTTTATTTAAAAAAAAAAAATAGGTACTAGCAGGGGTTTAGATATAGGACGAAATATTTTGTTCAGACGGGTAATAGCTAATTTTTCATATTTGTACTTACTTACGTAGTGTGCCTATTACAACTGATAATTCTTTTCTTACAGCCATGTCTCGGAGTTGTGCGATCGTGTTGGCCCTCTGTGGATTCGCCGCAATCACAACATTACCTGTCTCCAAAGCGCAAGGCTTGTCTTCTCAATATGACAGTGAGTATAAATAAATTAGTTTGTGAAATATTTATAGATCGTATTAAGTTTTTTTAAAATCCAATATCACTACTGAAAAATTCATTGAAACCTCTATTGAAAATTTTAAGTTAAAGCTTCAGCTTCTAGTCATAAGGTTGATCCTTGATAGATTAGTCAAACAAAACTGTGACCAGTTTTTTTGTGTTATTGAAAAGACAAATAACTCGCCATTTCAATAACGTAGTAAATGGTAACCATCGCCTATATACACATAATACTATAAACATCACTTATATATATTCTGCAATTTTACTGCCTTTCATCCTTCAACCAAGCCAGCTTACAAAGCAAGCAGATTGTCGACTAAAATAGGTGAGACTAGTCAGGTACTCAAGGAAACGCTTTCTGCATAATCTATCTCGGGAAAAACGGTATATAGTCTCTTTATAAACAATATTTAAGAATGCATTTGAATGGTACTTGTTTATAGAGTCTAAACATAAAGAAAATTAAGTATAAAATTTATGGGCACTAGTATCTATACAACGTATTTATTTTTTAATAGGTATGATCAATATATATTGTCACTATAAATATTATACATGTATAAGTCTAGAGTAAAAATAAATAAGATAGATAAAAGAATTGGTCTATGCCTATGGGAATCATATAAAACTTTATCACTTAATAACTTTTATCCTGTCTTTCTATAATTGTTTATTACAAATGAATAAAGTAAAATAATACTATACCAATCCATTTTAGCAACTATGTAAACAACGAGAGAGAACTAATTTCACAAAGCGATCTAGAACATATGAGCTTATTTCATTTAGAATTGTTTGCGAGTGCTAAAAGTTTTATGTGTTCAATTCACACATAAAGTGAATTGCAATGATGAGAGTAAGGGAAGTAGTAAAAATTTCATCTCTTGAATATTATAAAAAAATGACGCTGTCCAACGCGATTTACACTCGAAGTTGGCTAAATTTTATATGCACATATTGACTACAGCAGTAATAATATTGGAAAAGATGTTATTTGTTTACTCAAATGCATGCAAAAATTCATAAAGTGTGCATAACATAGTGTACAAGTCAGGTAGTCATAAGAGTAATAACACCTTAGTCCTTCGCAATGGCAACGTATGAGTTGTACCCCGTGCGTCTCGTAGTGATATGATGGATGTGGTGCTGTTCATGAGAGAGTTGCCACTTACCATGAGGAAAGCTGTCAGCATGTTTGCCATGCGAGTTATATAAAAGAAAAAATATCAGCAATAAACATGATAAAATATCAGCAATTAACATTATTTCAAGCGTTAGTTTCAGTACAGTACAGCAATAGCAATTCTAATTCTATATCTTTGTACATTTGTATTTTTACTTTATAAGGGGTAGTGTAGTGGTACAATTAAAGTATTTTATTATTTGTAGCAGTGCTTTTCTTTACAACAAAAATAAGATACAATAATAACAGTCTAATTAATGGAATCACCGGCATCATAGAGCACAATGTGATGCTTTTTACTTTTTTTATAATTACTTACTGTATAAAGAAATCTCCTAAAGGTACGAATATATGTTGGGATCGAATCCAGAGTTAAGAAAATACTATATCATCATATAGCATATTGATAACATCAATTTACTTCTTTTTACGAGATAGTTTTTTATGCATCATAAGGCTTACCACCAATAAAATGGAAAATATCAGAAAAAGGTAAGATCATAGTCAGCAAAAGCAGCAAAGTATCATTTCTAGAGTTCGTGAGTACTATGTATTATATATAATTTTACGATATTTTATAAAGAAATATACATATATTTTTTTGGTTAGATAATAACATTCTATCCATATATAATTCATTTCTATATTAAGATAGGTACTACATAAACATAAATAACAAAAATAGCTAAGGCGTCCATGTTACATTGTTGATATAATAAATTATTGTACTTCAAACCTGTTAGTTTGCTTGGGACGGACTTGGGACTTTGCCTTGCAAATAATACAGTTTCTTAGAATATACACTCGTATACAAAACTCAAAGGTTAAAGTATTTACCAACTGGTTGAGTCCCGCTATATCCTTAAAACTTAGTTTTTCAGTTAACATACAATATATTTAGTATATCCACAATCAAGATTTAAATTTATATTTATAACTCTGCATTCGGTAGTGAATATATAGGAACATTTTTTATTATACAATAAAGATCATCCAAAGTATAACTATAATATAATGTATAACTTTTATTATCTATTTGATGTTAACAACGTCGACAACGACGCAATGCTTTAAATTAAATCTCTTTTAAATAAAAATAAATAAATTACTATCCACTTAATGCACCGTTGATCATTTTGTCTATCGCTATTTAAATTAGCGTGTGTACAGTTGTAGGTACCTAAATTATATTGATACGAAACTGCTACTGACGGAAAGACTGCACAATCATAAAAGTCTATCTTCGTTGTCTTACAATTTTATGGCCATAATATGTTTCGAAATTTTATACCCATACAAAACATAATTATTTTCGGTCATAACCATTTTTTATCCTTTCTAACAGTATACTCACAACGCCAGTTACTCGTAATCTTTCAATTCATATAACCTACCATAGCTTATACTGTTAACTGTTACAGTTCTTTCAGTAAGAAATTTACTTTTTTTATTTTTTGGCATTGTCAACCACAGACCATCGATCGCTATTTCTCTAATGACTCATACCTTGCTATTCCATAGGGAAAGAGGATATCATGCTTCTTATCCTATAATTGCACGCCTTTTTTTCATCCTACAACTGAAATATAGCTAATAAAGCTGCTTACTGCTGGACAGCAGAAATAGGTGACCACGGTGACTGAGGTATCCACGCATATGGCATTTTACAATGTGTACGTTAACGATAATAATGTTTTTTAGAAAAATTTTTTAAGACAATAAGATTGTGCTTACCAGAAAATTATTATTTTTGCGGTAAAATAATTTACTATCAACTATATAAGAATATATAATATTAATATATCCTAATAGTATTGATGAATAATGATTTTATGATTATTCATGATTCTGAAATATAACACTGTACTTTTAATTAATCGTACTTTACAGTTTTAATGTCCAAGTATCGTTAATATTCTAAGACGTACCAACAAGTAACACGAATCATGTTTATTAATGACGACGAGAATCTTGGCCAAAGGCAGAAAGTAACAAGTTTTGTATTGGCATTTAATGCGGTGGCAACTTTTCTGATTGAGCAGTAGGTTATATATAACGTTATATATATAACCTATATATAGTACCATAAATTTCATGAAATCAGACCATATTTTATTCGGCGTCCTTGTTGTGTGGATACACGGCGTTTTACGAATGTCATTTTTATCCGGTAAAGGTTTTTCCTGTAAGGAAAATTATCCAAAATTTACGTATAGGATGTCTTCTTTTTTCAACCATGAGTGTACAATTGTTAGATATACCTACGGGTTATGTTATTTGATATTATGAATGACCAATTTATGTTGTAATCCATAGTAATGTGCATATTATAACATGATTATATAATAGATAAACTGCAATTTTTATGTATATTTTATTATTAGTATATTATATTATATATAGAATGTTTAATTTATTAGTAGAAATAATACTTATTTCTACTAATAAATTAAACATTCTATTGAGTTAAAAGCATAATCAACCTTACATTGGTTGGTTTAAAACATAAAAATGCCAACATTGCTTTTAAACCAACTAATGTCACTAATTTTAAAGCGTGAAAAGATATTTTAAACATTCAGGAACTGCATTTTAGTGTAATTTTGAAATTGATGATTCCAATTCCAATTACATTATGAGTAACAAACATTTGACAACATAAGACTTCATCAAACAGCGGGATTATTACAGTTGTTACTACAAGTTACGGTATGTTAAGCTTTTAATAACGTAATCTCTAGTGCAAACACTACGCGCTTAAATCCAAACTACGGAATGGCGTCACGTAACACATTAATGTGTATTTTGTGAATGACGGAAAGACCTGAGAACTGTTTTATCAACTTTAGATCGATTTTCATTAATATTACGTTTTAAATTAATAAAATATAAATAAATACCTTACTTCTTTTCTGTGAAAATTGGCATAAAAATTTATGTAAGTAATAATAGTCATCTATAGATATTAACGATATCACAAACATCACAGAATATGAGGAAGGTTCTGTGGAAGAAGAGACCATGCCTTTTTTTGACAAATCCTTTAAGAATTTGATCCGAGATAGGTTTGTACCAAATCGAGAGGTAGATTTGGTTGTTTAAAAACGATGTATAAACAAAATTTTAATAGTAAGTGATATCTTCATTGAAAATGATGTTACAAACTTTATACACATCATGTTGTGTTTTATTTACTATTTATTGAATTGGACTGTAGGACAAAGTAGAGGAACTGAATTAATTTGGATTAGCAGTAACATATACGTATGTCCCAACAAAAACAGAATCCTAAATCCTAAAAAATATTTATATAATATAGACTTATAATCCCATCAGTCTTGAATTGTAGTGTAAGATAAAACAAAAGTTTATATGTATAGTGGTTATATATTTTAACGGAGTGATGCTTAAAATTTGCCAGACCGTATTGTTTACCTCCTTATTAATCGCTCCTCAGAGTTTTGTCTCTTTTATCTACCGTTACAAGATAAATAAAACAAACCCATTCAACAAGATTCTTATACAAAAGACGAATCTGTATATATTTTTATCACTGGACGTAATGATTACTAACAAATAGAACATACTTTTTCATTGTCCACCATACAAAGACGTTTCAAGTTAGTTATAGTGTGATCTATGATCGGAGTTCTACTTCCTATTAGAAGAGCCTGAAACGAGGATATATACTAATATAGTCCAAAGTATCCGCCTACTGAAAAGAATTGGAGGTAACGGAGACTAAATTAAGCATTAAGGATTACGACTAAATAGTCAGTAGTCAGATT